GCAATTCCCCACACACCTGAGGCCCATGGGTTCTGGGCCTTCCAAACAACTCTGCTAATAGTTGATGCTAAAACCAGACTGCTTAACCCCTTAGCAGTCTTTTCTTCACTAATCTTAAGGAGACTCCCACACTTGGCCCACTAAGAGTGACAGAGGGACCTCTGTTACTTGTTGGATCTAAAACGTCCCCCAAAGTCTCATATTCAGATGTGACTGTGCCTGGTCAGGAGAGACAGTCACTAGAAGATGGGCCAGAAGAGGGTATTCTTGTCCCTGGCTCCCCACCTTGCCATCTCAGGACTGAATAGCTTCCTCTGCCATGCCCTTTCACCATGCCATTCCTGCCTGGGAGCTATTCCCCAACTATCAACTGAACCCACCAGAAACCATGAGCCAAAATCAACCTCTCACCTTTTAAATCATGGGTCTCAGGTATTTGTCCCATCCATGAGAAAGCAACCAGTGCAGATTCTATCACTTGGAGCATGCCAGGTGCCAGAGCAGAGACTTAGTCTGCAGCCCACAAGTGTGGGTCCTTTCGGCCTTCTCTGCAGAATGCAGATGGCCTCTCCTTCACCTGTGATTTAGGACAGCAGCAAGGGATGCCACTGTGTTTGCTCCTCTCTCTTTTCCCAGTTTGCTGCCTGTAAACGTCTCACCCATGCATCCATCAGAAACAACAAGTCAGATCAACCACCTCCTCCTAAACCTTCCCCTTAAGAACAAGCCCAAACTCCACAGCACGTCAGACAAAGCCTCTAACATTCTAGCTCCGGCTTTCCGCACTCCTTTTCCGTTTCTCCCCTTCTACACGCACACACGCACATTGCTATTCTCAGCCCTTCCCAACACGCCACAAAGCACAGATGTGCTCACAACTCTGAGCACTCATCTTTGCCAGAAACAATCACCGGCACTGTCACCTTGGCGCATAAATTGATACAGAAGCCAAGCACTGGGGGGACAGGGATTTAGCTCGCTGGTTCCGCGGTCTGCCTCGAAAGCTCAAGGTCCCGAGTTGGATCCCAGGTAACCGAGCACAAGCACTCGCTCCTCCAGGAAGTCTTCCTCACCTCTCCCTGGGAGATTTGGCTCCTGCCACTTCCCTCACAAGACAACAGTATTTTTCAGCCCTCCTCGACTGAAGGGACCATGCCGTTGCTGGACCTCAACAAGCAGAGGTGTGGCATGTGAATGTTTGTCAATTAAATAAACAAATGTATAAATGAATAGTATCGTTCGCTGCTGATAGCTTTTTTTGCTTTGTGACTTCAAGACAGTTTTTCAGCTATCTGCAATTATTATTTGTTCTAAAAGAGTTTCAATGTGAAGAAATCTGAAAGTCTCACTACTGCTTCAAAGGTTTTTAGACATAGAGTCCCCTAAAGTAAAATTATACCATACATACAGAACCTTTTCTGAAAATCTCACATGCAGCTCAATTTTATCTCTTCTTTAAACAATAATATAACTACTTTATAGGACACCAAACATCAAATCAATATTAATAGCAATGACGATAATTTCCTTTTAAGTAACTGGTGTTGAGAAATAGCCAAACCAGTTGACATGCAGTCAGACTTCTATAATTTTCATCAGAAAAACAATTCCCTACCAATGACAAATAATAATCGGGCCACTAAAACTACCTGTCATGCAACTAATGAAGACAGATTCTCTGGCTACAACATATAATATGTAATATCCAAAGCACCACTGTAATTTACAGCTAGTTAGTGTCCCGCCATTATGAGAGATGTCAGGCCCTAGCTTTTTTTCTGATCTACTCAGACCTCACAAGAGCAGACAGCCATGGTAAGATCACAGGACCCAATTAGCACCCACCCTAGCCCCGGGCTGCTGTTTCTGTGAGGAGGAGCCCCAGCATCAATAAATCATGCTTTGTCACAGACAAGCCATTGCTGCCCAAGGACTAAAGACAATGCTGCAAAGGAAAACTCGTGGGAAAGACAGAGATAGAAAAAGGATATCATTTGCCTTCCTTTAGCAGCACAGCAGTCAGCAAAATTGAAGACCATCAATTCTGACTGATTAAGGAGACAACTTCACTAAGAAATAAATCCATGAGGGGTACATCTGCAGACCCTTGGTGATAAGCAGCAGTCAGCAATCAGACGTGTTTGTTTGTTTAATGTAGATACTTTGCAGACCTTTTCCTTGCCATTTTTTCCTGTAGTGCCTTCTCTGGGATTAATAAAAGAAATTTCCCTTCAGTGGGGCATAACAGGATGCATTTACTTTATCCCCCAAGAAATACACCACAATCTGATAATTTGTCTGAAAGACTCTTAAATTGTTTGACTTCACTGAAAGAGAATCTGTAATGATCCGCTGGCCTCTAAGCAACACCTACAAAGTCCCTAAATCCACAAGGAAGCTCTAGCACGTTCACAGCACATAACACCCAATACCCTTGTAATTTTATTCTAAGCCAGTAAAGCCGTTTTACTGCAAAATATTTTTCGTGACCTAAACAGTCATTGTACCCTGAGCATTATCAAAAAGTATGGGTCAGGTAATTGTACTTTTTTGTTTTCTTCATGGAAATATTATTCTTCTGTATTTTTAATGTTGACCTAAAACATGTAATCTAGCTTTTGGCTAAATAACTACCACCTAACTTGATATATAAATACTGGCAGAAGCAAATAAAAAACTATAGGCTCATTTAAAGAAAGAACTCCCTTCTAGCACAGAAATTTCAAAAAGACTTAATTTTCTACCTCTGAATATATTACCCCGGAAATCTACAAGGATTCCACTGCATCATATTTTATAACAGGACAATAACTGAAATAACAAAAATGTGCAAAGTATGAAATGAGTCAAATGAAATTAAAATCAATACAATGGAAAGCTGTATCACTTCTAAAAATAACGGTATAGGAAAATATTAAAAGGAATGCAGAAATGTTCCCAGGAAGCCAGGCATGGTGGTGTACTTTGAAAGGCTGAGGAAGAAGGATCACCAGTTGGAGCCTAGGCCAGGGAATTTAGCAACTTTGCAAGATTCTGTTTCCCAAAAAAAGTTCCTAGGATACCACAAGGTGGAAAAATTTTTAAAGGAACCTAGATCTGTATTATACACGTACACACAGTGCCGTTTATATACGTACCAGCACACTTGTGTTATAAACATGTATCCATATATATATAGATATATTTCATTACTTGCAGGATGATCTCAATCGTGCTTCCTTGTGTGGGGGTGTAAGTCTATATGCATGTGTGTGTTCATAAATACAGGTCAAGTACAAAAAAAAGGCTGAAAAGAAAGGCACTTAAATATTTTTAAAGTATCTTCGGGGACTGATAATCTAGGCTATTCTTCCTCTACCTGTAAATTCTTTTACTTCTAATAAAAATTATTTAATGAAATATTCACTAATGCCACCTAAATTTACATAGCTGTGCACTAGTGTGACACCCTAACCTGGTAGATGATCCATTCAGGGTGGCTAATGGCCATCATGCAGTATTTCAATTACCACTCTGGTTATGAGCACCAGTTAAGGGCCAGGAACATATCACATACAGGCACATTAATACCAGCACTTGGGAGGCTGAGGCACAGGATTGCAAGTTGAAGTGCAGCCTGGGTGACACAGGGAGTCCAAGGCCAGTCTGCACTACATAGCAAAACTCCATCTCCAGAAATCATAAAACCAAAACAAAAAATGATCCTCAGAACAGCATTTTTTTCTTATCGATAGAGCTAAGTGGGTGTCAAGCTGAATCCCTGTAACGCTGTGTTGCCATATTGAGTCAGTGCTGGGATAGCAGGGGCTGAAGGAAGTGCAGGCCCAGCACAATCTGCCTCAGGAGCAGGTCCATCACTCCCTCCACCACCTGTCCGCTGTGACACTGGGCTCACTGAAACCACCACCTGTGTGGGAGGCACAGGTGCCATGTAACACTACTGGTGAGATTTCAGGGTCCCCAGCAGTGGGGCTCAGACCCTTCCTCAGTGTGGCACCGGGCAGGCAGCTCTCACTCTGAGCCTGGAAGACGCAAGACCTGTGAACACTGTGGATGGTAAACACTTGTTGCCTAACAAGAGGAGAAAGGAGCCGAGTCTCTCCCCCATGAGGGTTACATCCACTTAGAGAAACACAGCAATCATTTAAGGAGGGTGGTAACATGGTAATGGGCCCATACTGCTGCGCATGGTGGCACACACCATGCCAGCACTTAGAAAGCTAACGCAGGAGCAATGCCCTGAGTTCAAGGCCAGCCTGGGTACATGATGAGTTCAGGGCCAGCCTGAACTATACCTCGAGATCCTGTCTCCAAAAAAACAGGACCATGAATACAGAGATTAGAATAGGGCAATAATAAGAAAGTTTCAAACGTTAGAGATAGACTAGTGTACTGCAAAATACAACCGAAAAAGATTTTTGAGAACAGCAACATACACGTAATCATCTGTAACTCAAGATATTTCTCATGTTTCTAAGTTTCTCTTATCTAAGGCAGTATAAACGTGCACTTGGCCTTTAGTTGAGAAAGGGATAAATTAAAAGTATTTTCATTCAACATTTCAATTCACTTTCTGTTTACCAAACACAGAGTGAAATAGAAAAAGAAAGGGGTGAGGGGAGGGGAAAGGAGAGGAAGGGAAAAATACATTTCAGCAAGATCAATTTTGGCAACAGTGAAATTTTTGCTTCTTGCTTATCTTTTCTCTAAAAGGAGCCTAGATAATGCAAAAGTGAGACAATGTATCCATATTCATGTGATTTTTATTTCATAGCCGCAGTGCCCGCATTTGAATCTGTTTACAGAGACTTCTAGCCATAGATAATAATTTTCTAATTTTTATATCACTCCTGCATAGTTCAGGAGATTCAATCTTGGTGCTACTGCGAAGAATAGAAGGAAGGCAGAGTGCAAACTCAGCACACCCACGTTCACACAGCAGCGTCACAGCTACTCCCCGTGAAAATCCACAATCAGCCCACACAGAAAAACACCCATACCTGAGAGGGAGAACTCTCCTTTCTGGCTTTCACTTTCTCTGATTAGAAAGGCACCTGTCTGATTTTCTGAGTATTGCAGTTGATTTTCTGCATCCACTCTTTTGATTGCTTCAAAGAACCACCTAAAAGAGAGACATGTAAACTGTAATTAATCAATTAGCATTCATTTTGAAGGCACAAGAAGCATGGCACAATCGGAAACTTTTCAGTCTTTAGTGAAATTATTACAGAAATAAATGGCCGCTTTGACACTTGAGGTGGTTTTTCAGAATGTCGGTAACCAAACCAGGACCCATAAGAATAGATCATGAAGCAGAAAATTTGGCTAACACCCATCCCAACAGCCCTTCTCGACCCACATCCTGAGGTCTTACGCCCTCCTTCTGTCAAAGCTGAAGCCCACCAGCAGACCTTGCCACATAAGCCAGCTCCTGAAATTTCTGCATCACCATCGAACTGCCCACTGCCTCACCGGCTGCCTTCTTCAGGTCAGGAGGCAAATATCCCAACTGAAGTACTCATGTGCCTCATATTTGAGTGTGAGCAGCTAAATCGCACTGCTCCAGGCATTAATTCCTTCCCTCTCCTTCCCCTACCACTGCCCAGCCCTATCACAACACCCTAGGATTTGAAATGTTTAGGGGGAATCTAGTAACATAAAGGAAACATCAAACAATGCAAAGATTACCCAGGAATTGTATCCATGCTGCTACCTTTACCTCTGGTCTTTACCTATTACCTTTACCCTCTCAGAAATTGTGATAACTCTTTATGCATCTGATCAGCCCAACAAAGAATTATAGATCATACTATCAGAGCCACTCTGAAATGTGTATCAAGTGGTAGGAAACAGTGTGATCTTATAAGAAAAACCTGAGAGCCCCTGCTTTTCACAAAAGATCCCGGCTTCACTGCAGGACCACAGAGATGAGCGTGATCATTAGGGACTTTAAATACAACATTCATCTTTCCAGACATCATCTTTAACAATGTAAACACCCTAAGAGAGGGGTGAGTTACTGACATTCTGAAATGTAGATGTGAAGGAGAAAACAGAGCCAGGAGGGGAGAAGCAGGCCACCAAATTTACCTCAAATTTGCTTGACAAGTCGGTTTTGGAGATTGTGAGGATGTTAATAACAAAATTAGAGGGATATTGGGTGAAAGGACTTAGAGACATGGTACTCTAAATATTACCTCCTAACAAATATGGGTTATTTGTTTATCATTTTCCCAACTATCAAACTGTAAATTCCACCACATTAACTGTATTCATCAGGGTGTTTCCAGTCATGTAGCCAGAACTCTTAGTGTCTTAAAACTACAGGTATCTTTCCAGTCATCTGTGCCTCTCTTAACAGGCATTCGGAGCTGTGCTCTGTCTGCCTCACTCAGGACGGTCTATCTTTATGCTTCCATGATGCTAAGTCCCAGAGCTTTCATCTAAATTTTCTACTCCAGAGTAGTCTTATTAGCAGATGAGCCACCTGGCCATTCCTAAATGCAAAGAGAGTACAGTGTGTAATTCCTCCTTCCCCAGAAGGCAAGGAACTGGAAACACCAGGCGCACTACACTAATAGCTACCATACTCATTCAATTTCTGGGTCTAAACTGTTGTCCACAGAGTATTGTTTGTCCGATTGAATGTACACAAGGCAGGGAAAAGTTCTGAAGTGGGGGTAACATGAGTTCACAGGAAAGAAGAAACGCACTTTTACCACTTCAGAAATAAGTCAAGGGAACACCAGAACATGGAAAAATTCATATAGAACCAAATATAGAAATCCGTAATAAAAGAACAGATAATAATCCACATGATAAAATACAGATGCTACCTGCAGCACACACAATAATTTTACATAAAGGCTAATATAAAAGACACATTTTTAAAACTTTCTGAAGACACTGGACTAAGACAAAAAAGAAAGAAAGCGAAAGAGAGAGAAAGCTAGAGAAAGAAAGATAGACGAAAATTACATACTGATCTTAAGGGAGAAAACAGATAGCATTTATTATGTCACAATTAAAATTTCTGCACCAACAAGATCACCAAAATACAAGCCACAAAATGGAGAAAATATTTCCAAAGTAGGTAACAAAAAATAAGACTAGTATTTATATTATACTGAGATGCACAAGCAATAAAAGACAAAAGCACAGGAAATTTGGCAAAGGATAAAACTAGTCCAGAGAAGTGGAAAGCCCAAATTAAAAATAAAAAGGACAGAAGTTCACCTTCTAGCTGTGTTAGTAATTAAGCACTGTATTCTATAAGATCACAATAAAACACAAGTTTACACTTTCAGGCTGGCAAAAACGTAAAACCCTTCCAGTATTAGGTATTGGAAAAATGTGAACCAAAAGCCTTTGTACAATACCAGCGGCAGTACAATTTTGTAGAACAAGTTTAAAAAGCAACTTGGCACTATCTGGTAAAGTTGAATGTTTATATACTGCTCAAGTTTACTTCCAGACTACATGCTGTATTTGCTCAAGGGCATAGGATAAGAACTTTCACTAAAGGATTCCTGGACTTAACAATTGAAAACAAGTGCTGGGACTTTATGTCAGAAGTAGAGCACCTCCTTATCATGCATGAGGCCCTGGGTTTGATCACCAGTACTGTACTCATTCTCTATCTGTCTCGTACACAAAACGGAAACCACCTAAATGTCCATCAAAAGAGAATAAACTTGGTATGGGTATTACATAGATTATGCAGAAGTTAAAAACAAATTTTTTAGGGATGAAAGGAAGTTGAATGTTATACATAATTGTAATGTCATTCATATAAAGTTTAAGCAAATACTTTGAAAAACCAGTACATATTTTTCTGAATACATGCATGCTTCATGAAAGCTAACTGTTAAAATATGCAAGCATTCTTTTAATTCTATTTCCAGAAATGGAAAAATTTCTTTACACAAATGTTCCCAGCAAAGAAGCATCACGAGTGAAGTATGTGGATGGAGTCAATGCACTTTCCTGATTCGGAGTGCACTGATTATAATTAACATTAAAATGTTTCATCAAAAAACGAACGAGGGGCCGGGGATTTAGCTCAGTGGTTCAGTGGTCTGCCTTGCAAGCGAAAGGACCCAAGTTCAATGCCCTGTACTAAAAAAAAAAAAAAACTTGCAAACTTATACAGGAATTAGTTTATCTAACAAATTCAATTCTTAAAACTATGATTGTATTGCCTAATCTTCATTCACACAAACACTGCAGTATGTAAGTGTTATGTATGTACATTGTATTTGCATTTTGGACAATCAAGTTCACATGTGATGTGTTTATTAGGTGAGTGCAGGTGCTTTAAAAACCAGGGCATGTCAGTATTGCATCCACAGAAATGGTGAAATGATGATAAATATTTCACTAGATGCATCAGTTCACTTAATACCTGGAATTTTACTTCACTGAGCTCTCATTATGATGGGAAGAATGAATATAAATAAAGAACTATTTTCTGGATGCAGTGGAACACCAGTGGCAGTATAAAGATAATGCCATCCTTCGTACTCAAAGATGACACGCTCGCTATAGACTGCAATCTTCAGCACACAAGATGCTACAGTGACTCAAGGGGAATACAATAGCTCATTCCACCTTTTGGACATGTGGAATCTGTTCCTTAATTTGAATTGAGGTCTGAGCTGCTAGCAGGGTCATTGTTCTCTTTGGTTCTACCTTCTGGAGGCTTCTCCTGGCCCCATCTGACCACCACAGCCATTTTCCACACACCCCCCATTCACCTGTGGTTCTTATTGTCAGTAACAGAGAGACTGAGACAGTAGCTAGACATTATGTGAGGGGTAAAGCATTACATGAGAGTCATGTGCATCGGTACTCCTCAAAACAGTGTCCCTGGGCCAAGAGGTCAGCACCATGTGGAAGATCACTAGAAACAGAAATACTCAGGCTCCATTCCAGCCCCCTGGAAACACAGGCTCTGGAAGAAGAGGTGCAGCTAAGAGTTGCAATAATACTCCCAATTAAACCTGATGAGCAATGAAACAAGTATTACTTTGATTCCAAAACCAGGGAAAGACCCAAGCAAAGAAGAGAAATACAGGCCAATCTCCCTAATGAACATAGATGCAAAAATCCTCAATAAGATACTGGTTAACAGAATAGAGAAGATCATATACCTGACCAAGTCAGATTTATCCCAGGGATGTAAAGATGGTTCAACATACATAAATCAATAAATGTAATACACTATATTAACAGTGTCAGGACAAAAACCATATGATCATCTCAATAGGTACAGAAAAAGCATTCAACAAAATTCAACACCATTCATGATAAAAAAAAAAACCTGCAGAAAATTGGAATAGATGATCTTTATCTCAACCTGATAAAGGCTATCTATGAAAAACAAACAGCCAATATCAAAAAATGGTCAAAAAATGAAACCTTCACACTAAAATCAAGAACAAGGATGTCCACTGTTATCACCCCTGATCAATATAGTTCTAGAAACATTAGCCACAGCAATTAGACAAGAGAAAGAAATAAAAGTAATAAAGACAGGAAAGGAAGAAGTTAAACTGTCACAATTTGCTAATGATATGATACTCTAAATACTAGACCCAAAAAACTCTGCCAAAAGACTTCTAGACTTAATTGACAGATTCAGTAGAGTAGCTGGATACAAAGTAAACACTCAAAAATCAACAGCCCTCTTGTACACAAATAACAGACTCATTGAGAGAGAAATTAGGCAAACAATTCCTTTCACAATAACATCCAAAAACAATATCTAGGAATCAATTTAATGAAGGAGACAAAAGACTTCCACATTGAAAATTACAGCACTCTGAAAAAAGAGATAGAGGAGGATATAAGAAGATGGAAAGACATCCCTTGCTCCCAGGTAGGAAGAATCAACATAGTGAAAATGGTCACACTTCCAAAACTGCTATATAGATTTAATGTAATTCCAATTGAAATCCCAACAGTATCTTTCACAGAACTAGAGAAAACAATCCAAAAATTCATTTGGAACTAGAAGAGGCCTAGAATAGCAAAAACCATTCTAGGCAATAGATACATGGCAGGGGTCATCACAACTGCCAACTTGAAACTATACTACAAAGCTACTGTGATAAAAACAGC